TTTTTTTTTGCATTGCTTGCTTTGTTTTGTACCAGCTTCCATTGCCTTATTTGGTGTAATGTGTTTCTCCTTTTAGATATTTTCCATTTCTCCTTTTTTCTTTCATTCTCGTTCATTTCCACAATATTTTCTTGTTTGCATCTTTAACCCTTTGACTTTGAAAATAAGGCATTTTTGAGGTTAAATTATTTCAAATGTCCTCTAAAAATGGTGTTTGCCTTATGGAAACTTTTGCTGTTTTGTAATACCAAAGCTAGGCTCATTATTCCTGTACAATGTTTTGTTCGACAGTTTGCTTGTTTTGGCAGGAAGCTATACATTGTACTCCAAGAAATAATGATTTTTGCTGTTTTTTAGCCTTTTTTGCCTTTAGTCACTACACTACGGTGTTTTCGCAAAATTCATTTAGTGCGAAAATATGATTTTACCATAACTAGTAGAATTCTCGCGCGCTGATTGATCGAGAGCCTTTGTCGATCGTAGGACAGACCGATGAAATGACGAATCGCTCGCGCACAAGCGAATATGCATTCAAATGACGCCAGAAAATGATCAAAACTTGGCATTGAAACCACTCGCTACGCTCGTGGTTCCACTTATGAGTTTTGATCATTTTCTGACGTCATTTTCATTGTCAATAAGCGTACAGACCATAGAAAAGCGATTTCGATTTGTTAATTAGAAAAAACACTCTAAACAAGGGTCAAAGAGAAGCCAATCTCAAGGCCTGATTATATGAGGCGAGCCAGCCCAGTTTGCCGAGATTTCGGTAATACACAACCGGGATCCCGTCAGAGTGGGCTGAAAATTCCCCATGTAAACGAAAGTCAAGCGGGCTGGCCCGCTTTAGTGCGCCTGCTGTCCAGAAGTGTGTCAGCTGTTTTGCGTACAACACGTGTGCGCGAGCACGTCACTCGTCGTAATTTTTTCCTTTCTTAGCATTTTCTTATACGATTCTGCTACAGAAGCTACTACGTTACGTCAACCGGGCCAGCCCGCTTCATATAATCAGGCTTTTAGAAGCTGTGTCGGGGAAAATGGAAATTAAAAATTAATGGCTGAGATTGCAGAACTAGGACTGAACTTTATCAGAAACATTTTTTTACTTGTTTGAAACAAGAATTTTGTTCAAAAATCGAAATGAAAAAGTGAAATTTTCACTCATGTCGGAAACTAGTGCCAAAACAGCTTTATTTTTGACTTCAACAATCGATTTTGTGCTGGAATGAGTAGATAATCCACATTGATTTAGCATCAAAATAAAGAGCAATTCCTAGGAATTAGAAACAATTTTTTTCACGAGTAATGTTTCTAACAGGCAGTTTTGGGCGCCATAAGAGTCAAAGGGTTAAGTCATCTCTTGACAAGTAGTTTTTTCTTTGTGGCAATGCACTTCAAAGTGCAGTAAAACTCAATGGTATCTAAAAGTGCTGTCCTAAACTATCTATCAGTCTAATAATATTCAGTCTAATAATATTATATGGTGGAAACTAGTGTGAGCTGCGTCTGTGTTTCTAAAGAAACAGTTGTGTAAAAAGATTAATGAGAAGTCTACATTATTTTATAATAATTAATTTTATTTAAGGTATGTAAAAAGATAAATTTAACCCGGAAACCATAAAAAAGTACATGAACATCAAATGTGAAACAGCTTACTGAGTGTAGACGTTTCGGACGTTACTCGTTTGTCTTGACTATGACGAAGGATTAACATCCAAAACGTCAGTAAGTTGTTTCACCTTTGTCCTTTTTTTATGGTATTACAAATTTTCACACAATGTAATTATATTATAAAATAATGTTGACTTCTCTACTTGGTCTTGGGAATTTTCTGTGGAAAAAGAAAAAAAGTGACAGAATATTGCCTGGTTCCCAAGAATATTMCTTTCCATAAATCTTGTTCATTATTTTTTGTAATGAAGAAAGTATTCTTCACAGCAATCAAGAATAAACCAGAAGGATGTGTTGCTGCATTGACTGGGCTGCCAAGAACTGACTGGGCAAGATTAAGAGAAACTCATTTTAGTGACGGTCTCAACAAACAGTCTCTGGAAACTATAGAAGAAGCTTTGTTTGTTGTAAGTGCACAGTTCTGCATTATACTTTCTGATGATTATTGCACTGCAGAGGATTGCACTGTCTGATAGTTCTACTCTTATATATTTTCAATTGGTGATTATTGATTTCTGAACGGCATTTTGAGAATAGAATTATCATTATAAGCATGTTTTCTGTAGATGGTTTTAGAAGAGAGAAGCTTCCCAGACATAACAGACAGAGCAAAGTTTCTTCTCCATGGAGATGGTAGCTCTTTCTGGTTTGACAAGTCATTCAGTTTTATGGTATTCAGTGATGGAAAGTGTGGTCTCAATGCTGAGCACTCCTGGGCAGATGCTCCTGTCATGGGTCACCTCCTGGAATATGCCCTCACATATGAGTAAGTATAATTTATAAAATTCATTATAACAAATGAATATAAGCAAAGAAATGACTGTTAGCATTCAAATAAAGTTCCTTTAAGGACGTTTGAGGGCATTGCTACAGCGCACATTTTATKTCATGTCAAAACCGGAAGTTGTCATGAAATTGACTGTTCTTGTTATGTTTTTGTGAGGTTTTGTACGTACATTTCATCTGAACTTCTGGTAAAGAATTGATGAGGCAAAAAAGTGTTCAAAATGCTCTAAAAAGTCGTAGATTGGCAGAAAAAAGTCTATCGCAAGATGGCCAGCAAAATCTTAGATAATTATTTTCGTGACAAAATATCTTGACAACGAACCTGGTAACCCCAATTTCTATTTATCTTAAAAGAAGGCTACTTGGGAAAAATTTAAAATGTGAAAGCAGAAAAAACAACATATTCGGAGGTTTCTGAAATATAGCAGTTTTAGCTGGAAATGACACCACCAAATGAATGTTGCGGCTTGACACGGACAAAAATCCTAAAGAAATCAAAAATCACAACATGTAATTTTTCGTAGTCTCGTAAACACTTATATTAACAATTAATGACCTCAGCTTTTAAGGAAAATTTTGGATTAATTGATATGTGTTTTATATTTTTCAAGAACTTTTTTGGAAGACGACATCGACCACTTTCCGTGCGCTTTTCTTTGCCAATTTTGGCGATTTTGTGCAAGAATTATCTCTAAAATGAAGCTGATGATCTCCATTTTTTAATCTTTTTTTTGCAATTGTATGTCATCGCATATATCCAAAAACAATTGATCAAAGTGGCATCACAGAGTCCAATGTCCTCAAACTAGGGTCTGTGCAAAAGTGAAAAGTGCTTCAATTGAAAACTTGTTTTCAAGGGCACTTGAAACTCCTTGAAAATTTGAAAATTTTGAAAAACTCCTTAAAGATAAATCTCTATCACGAAGCAATAGAAATCTCGGACTTATTCCGTTCAGTCGATGTTGTGATGTAAGAATACAATTAGCATGATTATGATGTTCCTTGAAAATANAAATGTACATTAGGCTTATTCAGGAAGTGGACAGGGTGAAGAAGTTGATGTTGTTATTTAGGGGAGGTTTTTTTGCAATAAAGAATATTGGTTGCGGGCTTAGAGCGACCACCGCATACCGTGTACTGTGTTGTTCTAAGGAAACTGGGACTGTAGGAGTACTAGGAATTTGTCAACATGAACTACTGTGTGAATCCGATGTGAATCCAATGTTGTTTTCGAAATAATGCAATGTTTTTGGCACAAACTGTTATCTTTACGTTATTAGCWGTATTGAACATTTMTCACTGACTTCATACGTATATTCCATCTGATGTTCCAGCTCAGTTTTCTGTTTGTGAATCAGACGTGGCTGTCTGACAAGTTTTGTTGTCAAAAGTACAACAAGCAAACAAGTGTGAAGGTTTGATTGCTAAGTAATTATTTTTTAGATATTAAGATATTTTGAATTTCATAATCTTGGTCGTGCTATCGAAGTTGGAAGAGGGAACTAATCRTTTACAAGGATATCATCTTCAGTAATTCAGTAGTTCAGTAATTTTATCGACATTAATWTGTGTCGCCGTCTAATATCCGACRCAATGTAGCGRCCRGTTTTAAATAAAACTAGACGCTTGTAAAGYGTGATGCGGGCTAGCTTAGAAAAAGATTTTYAATACAAGATAAAATTGTATCTCCAATGAATATTGTGACTATGACGTAAATATGTATGAAAGTAAAATATGCCGTAGAATACCTTAGTTTTCTTTGCAGTTCAATTCTTATCGTGCACCGCAATATTCTTTTCTGGAAACTAATCGTTAACCTTCACTGTCTGCTATAATCTTATCATATATCAACTATCAACCATAATCTTTTTGCTATAGTGATTGTCCTACATTTGCRRTGTATTTTGTAATAATATCTATGGRAGCTCTTYACTTCTTGGTTAGCGATATCACATTATTATTTACATAGCAATGCATTTTAGATGACGTGGGTGCATTCTTTTGTTTTTATTAGCCTTTCTTTCGTACAAAAGAAATCTAAAAATTGAAGCAAAACAAAATTCAATTTCAAAACT